ATGTAACATGTGTTTAATTTTTGCGTAAAATTTTTTAGCTGATATACTTATATAGAAAATGATCTATATTCACCCTACCCTTAATTAGAAAACCACTTTCTACAGCCTAATTAAAAATTTTCATTGTGATGTTTTGCTAATAAGCATTATATTATTTTAATTTTAATCTAACTATAACAGTTTTTTTTAGGTTTTATTTTACATATAACTTTTTTATTTAGAAAAAAACATATTTATTTTGATATTTAATTTTAAATTTTAATAATTAAAATTATTAGAAATAAATAATTTTTTGTAGAGATACTACCTACAGTAAATCAACAAGAGAGTGTCCAAGAATATGTGAAAGTATAAAATGTGTATAATTTATATATAAAATCATATAATTTGCATTTATTATATAATTGACCTTAATTATATCACATAATTTATCCTATTATATTATATAATTCTGGATACTCTAATAGATGCAAACCATTTATTTTTAATACATTTGCATCTATTTTTTACTTTTTTGAAATATAATTTTAAAAAGTTATTAGTCAAATGATATATTCTTGTTAATGATTTTCATAGTAAATTATTATCATATAAATTGTTATAATTTTTATTTTATTTTATTTTTTTTTAGCGATCCTGCCTTTATTATTTTAATCAGAAGTATTAAAATTTATATTTGTTATAAATATCTAATTCTATACTAAATTTCTGTACTAATAAAGACTCACTCGGGTTAAACGCTCAGATGCAACCCGCCTAAGCAGCTAATTTGCTTCACATTAGATCCTCAACTTTCTGAGGATTTGTTCTCTCCAATCATAAGCTGAAGCTGCTGACCTTGTCAGTACTGCCTTTTTTCTTTTTAATATAGGTCCAAGAGAACCAGTCTGGCTTGATACAATATTGAAAAAGATTTTGATTGTTTTCTTGTATTCATGCAAAGATCTATTTTTCTTTTTCTTCCTTGGCTAATATTCTTTTTTCTTTTTCTAATATTCTGTTTTCTTTATTCTCAGAATTCTGCGCAAATTTTTTCCTCTTCTTGTATCATTTTTTCTTTTTAGCTTTGTTTGTAATCCCATATTCTTTTTCCTAGTCATTGACCAATTCACATTTAAAGTTTCATATATGTTCCTGAAACCTTTTATCGAATCTTGTCTTGATCACATCAAGCACTTTTTGCAGTATATTATCATTTCTTATTTCTCTTCTGATTTCTTCTCTCTTCCTTTTGAGTATGAGGCCTCTGATCAAATACCTTCTTGTTTTTATTCTTTCATCTTGAGATTCTTCAAAGAACAGATCCTTAACATCTTCTTTGTTCATAAGTCTTCCTTCACGTTCTTCTTGCCGTAATACTTGTAGACCTTCTTTGCTTGCTTCGACTTCAATAATGATCTATATACCTTAATAATCTTTACAGTTGGTGAGGTGATCTAGGTCTTCTTCTTTTTCTTTACATACTATACATGTATTTAATATATATATATCTGGTCTTTTTTTTCTTAACTCTGTCAAGGTCGGCAGTAGGTCATCTAGGCATTTGATCTGAAGAGAAATAAGAAATGATAATATACTGCAAAAAGTGCTTGATGTGATCAAGACAAGATTCGATAAAAGGTTTCAGGAACATATATGAAACTTTAAATGTGAATTGGTCAATGACTAGGAAAAAGAATATGGGATTACAAACAAAGCTAAAAAGAAAAAATGATACAAGAAGAGGAAAAAATTTGCGCAGAATTCTGAGAATAAAGAAAACAGAATATTAGAAAAAGAAAAAAGAATATTAGCCAAGGAAGAAAAAGAAAAATAGATCTTTGCATGAATACAAGAAAACAATCAAAATCTTTTTCAATATTGTATCAAGCCAGACTGGTTCTCTTGGACCTATATTAAAAAGAAAAAAGGCAGTACTGACAAGGTCAGCAGCTTCAGCTTATGATTGGAGAGAACAAATCCTCAGAAAGTTGAGGATCTAATGTGAAGCAAATTAGCTGCTTAGGCGGGTTGCATCTGAGCGTTTAACCCGAGTGAGTCTTTATTAGTACAGAAATTTAGTATAGAATTAGATATTTATAACAAATATAAATTTTAATACTTCTGATTAAAATAATAAAGGCAGGATCGCTAAAAAAAAATAAAATAAAATAAAAATTATAACAATTTATATGATAATAATTTACTATGAAAATCATTAACAAGAATATATCATTTGACTAATAACTTTTTAAAATTATATTTCAAAAAAGTAAAAAATAGATGCAAATGTATTAAAAATAAATGGTTTGCATCTATTAGAGTATCCAGAATTATATAATATAATAGGATAAATTATGTGATATAATTAAGGTCAATTATATAATAAATGCAAATTATATGATTTTATATATAAATTATACACATTTTATACTTTCACATATTCTTGGACACTCTCTTGTTGATTTACTGTAGGTAGTATCTCTACAAAAAATTATTTATTTCTAATAATTTTAATTATTAAAATTTAAAATTAAATATCAAAATAAATATGTTTTTTTCTAAATAAAAAAGTTATATGTAAAATAAAACCTAAAAAAAACTGTTATAGTTAGATTAAAATTAAAATAATATAATGCTTATTAGCAAAACATCACAATGAAAATTTTTAATTAGGCTGTAGAAAGTGGTTTTCTAATTAAGGGTAGGGTGAATATAGATCATTTTCTATATAAGTATATCAGCTAAAAAATTTTACGCAAAAATTAAACACATGTTACATATAAAAGTTTTTAAAAATACAATATTTTTTCGTAAAATTTTTACAGTATATACATTAAACCCATCTAATTATAATAATAGAATTTGAACCTTTGTTAGATTCGAAAAAAATATACTTACATATATCATTAATTCTTCCTAAGTTAATCGAAATTTGCCTAAGTTACACAACATAAATTACATATGATCATCACCTAATGTTATTGTAAAAAATTTAGTAACATGATTACTATTGAAATGTAGATCATTTCACCCTACCCTTAAAATTAAGAGTTATTTTTATTTTTTTGTTTTGTTTAGATTTTCACACTATGCCAGATCTAAAAATTCTATTGGTCAAAATTATAAAAGGTAAACAATTTTTTGTAAGAGCTAGAGCCTTTGTTTAAAGACAACTACTCCAGAATTACTAACAAAAATTACTATGTAACTATGATAAAATTTTTGTGATTATATAATTAAAACTATATATGTCACTAAAATAGGTTTTTAAAAAATCTTATTTTAATTCTATTAGAGCAATTTGAATTTTTTTATATACAAGAGCAAATCTAATTTAGATAGTTATATTCTTTATAATTTCATCTTTTTAATAAGTATTATTAAATAAAATAAATCAAAAACAATTTTGGTTTCAAATTTTAATTTCATACTTCAAAACCTAAAATAATTTTGTTGGCATGTATAAACAAAACAAATATCTGTTTAGAAAAATTGTCTTTATTTTAAAAATTTGCTTAAGAAACAATTTTTCATATACTAACAAAAATAATTTTTTAAGAAATTTTACTATATTTCTCTAAATATTTAACTTTAGTTTAAACACTAATTCTAATATAAAAAAACTTAAACAATTTTATGTAATTGCAAAAATTTTATTGATAATGCTTGAGAAGATGATCAAAGACCAGAAAATCATGTAAGTATAACTGAGATTGCAATATCAAATAATATATATTTAAAAGTAAGATGTTTATAAATCATTTTTCATATAATCTACATGATATATTATATTAAAATTTATATAGATGCAAAAATTTGTTACTGATAAAATCATGACTAATCTTCACCAAATTTTTTTAATATATAATTTGAATCTCTTATTTATAACAGTAAAATTATAAACACTGTATCTTTTAAAAAAATCTACTTTATATATTAATAAAAAAACTTAGATGACCCAAATTTACTTAAGTTGCACAAAAATTACTGATTCTAATTGATCAAATTTGTTGTTTTTATGATTTGAATTGGTCAATTACATAATTTTATATAAATACTACATAATTACTATTAAAAATGCTCTACTAACACTCAATCTTTAAATAATTTAGTATTATATTAAATTATAAACTAAAATTAACTTTAAAAAGCTTTATAAATTATAAAAAAATTATAAATTAAAATAATCAATAATTATTATTTTTCCTATTTACAAAAATCCTATATTCCACCTTTTGGAAAGGCAATTAGAAAAATATCATTATAGACTATCACATGGATTAAATATAGCACACCAACTAATAACATCTTATATTATCAAATCTAGATGAGTTTTAACTACTCTAGTAGGTTTAGGTTGCAGATGAATCAGAATTTCTAGTTTAGATAGTTTCTGATAGTCTGAGTCTTATTCTTGTAAAATTTCTATAACTTGGCTCTGGTCAGAGAAACCCATAGTAGATTCTCAATACAAAATATTAATAAAGATAAAAGCAAAACTTCATTTTAAAAAAAAAAAACAAAAAAACAAAAATCCAATATAAAAATTTAATTTTTAAAGTTGGATTTAACCATTTTTGCTTAATACCCCTTATATAAGTTAGCTAGTAGGTTGTTAAAATATAGCATCCTGTAATAATCACTACGGGTTATAGTTAAAATTATTCTAAATTATAGATTATATTTCAAATACCAATCTACTTTATATTAAAATTAATCTAATTAATCTAAATACATTTAAACAAAATATTTTAATAAAATTTGGCAAATATCTCAATTATCAAAATTTACATTAGAATACACATAAATACGCACAACACTAAGGATAATTAAGTTTTTTGTACTTGAAAACTCTTAAATTATATAACAAAATTGTAAAAATAGATTATTAAAACAAAATAAATTTGCATAAAAAAGTCGAATAACACCTGCCAAATAGATAAAATTAATTTAATATTTAAATTTTGCTTCTTCCAAATATGAAAAAATTATTAACACACTAAATAGTGATTATTCTTTTAAAGAAAATATTGACCCACACCAGCTCTCTGTGGGATTGACCTTTCTTGATCAGGAACAGCATTAAAAATTTTAAAACTGCTTTCATCGATTTGTAAATTTTCATTAATCGCCATTATAGATGCTACATTACCACAACGGTAACAATAGTTTGGTGCGGACCATACAGTAACTAGATTATCATCAGGAAACATATATTTATAACCCTCTTGTACTAATTGATGTGCCCGAGCTATTAGATTTAAATCGTTAACCTGATTAAACTTTAGTAAACAATAAATATCAGATATGAATAAATATTTTATCCCTAGTACCAGTATTTTCGCGAAATAACGTTCAAGGACGTTATTTGAATTTTGACCCACATCAAACTTGGTACAGGTCGAAATTAAAAATAACATCCCCTAGGCGTTGTTTCGAGAAAATACGTGTATAAAATATAAAAATAAACATGGTTTTTTTGAGAAGTATACCTCATTTGTCACTTTTGCACCAAACAACCAGCCAGCACCTCGTGGACTTACAGCCCACGTATCAATATCTTCAGGATCAGACCACATTAAATCTGAAAAAAGATATATAAATGACAAATAATGGAAGAAATGGAATAAAAGTAAACGTAGTAAATACGTACCACAAAAGGCGCCTTCGTGTGGAATCTCTTGGGCTCTAGGTATCGTTCTTATCTGATCTAATGTTCGAACTTCTGGTGATAATCCACCATGAACACATAAAATACGCCCGTCAACAATCTAGAAAAGAAAGGAATCTGTTTTTATTCCTCAAATCTTGAAGAATATATATATATATACACATATATCAAATTTCAAAATTTGAATATGTAAACTCTCTCAATAAACTCAATACTCACAGCAGCTAAAGTCAAATAATCAAACACTTGACAACAATACTTCCAAACATTTGGATTTCCATATTTTGTTTGGCATTCATCTAATAATTTTCACAAAACTACAATAAGAAAATAACCATTATTGTAATATTGAAATAACAAATCTAGCTTACCATAGAAACCATACACCTGTGTGATCTGTCTACTCTCATGATTACCTCTTAAAAGAGTGATTTTGTCCGGGTACCTATGAACGTAATAAAAAATGAAAATATAAAGTTACAATCAAACACATGAATTTAAGATTAAACTTATGAACTCCGTTGAATATTCATTCTCCCTTGCCTTGCTTTCAAAACCATCAATAGAGTGAATGTTTCTAAACTGTAATAACCTCTATCTACAAAATCACCCTGATTTTTTTTATTATTTATTTATTTTTATTTTTTTAACTATTAAAATGCAATAAATTTAGATTTATGATTAATAAAATTGTTTACCATAAATATATAATGGGTGTCAGGAATCTCTCCACCAACGTGGAATAATTCTAACAGATCATAAAATTGACCATGAATATCGCCACAAACTGTAACAGGAGTGTGCACAGGTTGTATATTGGACTCCTCCATTAGTAAATCTTTAACCTATATTAATAAAGCATTTATTAGTTTCGAAATTAAAGCGATATATTTTTGTATATACACAAATCAATATACCATTTCACAAAGTTTTTTCATGTCCGTCTCAGATAAAAATTGACATTTTTTTATCGTTATTAGCCATTCGTCTGGACCGGCCATATTGTTTTTTATTTTTTGTTTAAAGTTTGGTTTTTGCGAAGCTTTTAAAGGTTATTTTATAGCAGAGAATTTCGGTTGACAGATGATCAACATTAACTGTTAAATTTATAACTATATACGTATATATATCGATATGTAAATATATATTAAGCAAAATATTCGAAATCAATTACGTCATAAAGGGTAAAAATTTTAATAGGCTTCGCTATATAATTTTATATTAAAGCCTTACATAAGAAACACTACCTCAAAGAGTCACTTCTAAATTAAATACGTACGTACGTACGTATCTTGTAGAGCACACTGATAATTCTGAGCCTCTAAGTAGAGTTCGAGTGACGTCAAGGAAAAACCAGACACCTGGCTTAAATTATGTATCTAATGTTAAAAAAAATTGGTATGAAAAATTAATTGCCGTTGATTAATAATCTATGGGACCCAATTTTTATACCCCCCAAATTTAATATTTATACCCCCCTGCAGATTTAACTTTTTTTAAAACTTTGAGCG